ATCACGCTGTCTGACCATCACGCTGTCTGACCATCACGCTGTCTGACCATCACACTGTCTGTCTGACCATCACACTGTCTGTCCTTCACACTGTCTGTCCATCACACTGTCTGACCAACAAACGTTTGATCTGTGGTTTAGCTATTAAGCCGTAACCTGACTTAAAAAAGAAATACAGCCTATCAAGCTGCGGTTATGTTCTATGTCATGGGATTGCGCGCGCAATATTTAGCAATTATTCGCCGAAGGCGAAGTGAAAATCGGGGAATATTAACCGAGACGCGAGTCTTCGAGCGACGAGGTAAATATTCTCCGATTTTCACTGGCAAATAATTGTTTTAGTATAAACACACAGGTGATTCTTTCAAAAAAAAGAAGAAGAAGAAGATAAAATACTTTTTTTCCGGTAACAGCAACAAAACGTCTGGCCGCCATTTGGGATTATCGCTGGACTATCGTGTGATAGTGTGAGTTTCTCGACCAATCAGCGCACGAGATTTTCAATAATCACCTGTGTATTTTTACTAAAAACCAATAAGATATTGAAATATCTACGTGTATATCTACGTATATATTGCCCGCGCAAATAGTTTTCTAGTCTATACAAGAATCATTGTCTTCCCCCTCCCCCCACCCCTCTCTTTCCGGCACTTTCCAAAGCGTTTGTGTTATCGATAAAGTCACTTTATTGTCTCTTAACAAAGATTCTCAACGTGACAACGGCGCCTTTACCGACAATGAATCATTCAAACTATAACTACTTTCGCTTGACTAATTATCAAACTACTTAAGGAAAGCTTTTTCGGCTTTTATCTCCGACAAGGAACGATTATCTCTTCAAAGAATTGGACCGATTCAGATTTATTTGAAAGGATTATAGTACATTCAAAGTAATTACACACTAGGCCGATAACACTGCTCTTTAAAACCTAAGTCATTAAGCTATATATTAATATATTCTCGTATTGAGTGAAAAACATAATGGGTCATTAGTGTCGATCGTTTTAGTGCATGGAATAAGATTAGAACTCTTTGACGTTCTTTAACTGAACTTCACCCACCGGATATCAGCAATGCTTATAAGTATGTATGAAATATTTGACATATAATGTGCGCGCTGATTGGCTAGGTACTGTGTTTATATCAGAGGATACAGAAACTCGCGCAAAATCGTTCAARAATATTTTATAAAAGCTATATAAAACGGATGCTTATGTCTGTACTGTGATATAAATTATGGGAGCGCTTGAGAAGCAAGAGAAGCTACGCCTCGTGTTACTAAGGTTGCTTCTGCTTTGTGCTCTACAGTGTGTTTATATCACAGTACAGAGACACGCGCGCGCGTTTTATATTCCTTAAATATAAATATGTTTTCTAGTTATACAATGGTCTTGAATGGTATACCATGGAATATCCCACTTGTCGTTTCTAGTATCGTATAGAGTAAAGAAGAAAATACCATTAACTTTTGAAAAAATAATGAAATAAATAGGATTTGACAGTGGCATTTCCACAGAGTGCCTCTTCATCAACTCTATTGCTATTGGAATTTAGAAGTTGAATTTTACGGAGGGAGGAAAACCGGAGAACCCGGAGAAAAACACTCGAAGCACAGGAGAGAAGCAACAAACAACTCTACTCACATACGAAACCGAGTCTGGAGCGATTCGGACTCGTTTCACCTTGTTGAGAGTAAAGCGCTCTCAACGCTACGCCATGATTCTTGATTCCCAGAATGAAGTATTTTCGTGACAAGKGATATTCCTTGGTGTGCCACGAGAGTCATACCATTGTATAACTATTTTGTCCCACGCCATTGAACAAGTGGAAGAGATACTGCGAAATTTATTGAAATAAAAGAAGAGTTAGAAAATGAGAGGTAAAATGGGAAATAGAAAGAGATGAAAGAATACGTTACAGTAAAAAATAAGAATTTTGTTTTAAAATTTATGCAAAACAAAATCTCTAATATGTTAGAGAATATCAAGATCCTTGGAAATTTGCATTGTATGCGCTGAAAGCTTTATCCTATTTCAGTTTTTCTCTTTAAACTAGCGAACTATTCTATAATATTCTCTCATTATAGGTCCTTTCATTTTGCCTTTGCGTGAACGCCGTCATGTTTACACTCATCGTTAATAGGCTTTACATCTAAAAACCCGGCTCGTGGGACGCACCGACTTCTGATGAAGTATTTCTGACGACAATTATGGATTTTCCTAAGAGAGATCAAGTTTTTCCCTTCCAAAAACCAAGTGAACTATTTAAATGACAATTACATATATACCGTTTCCCAGATACTACTCCAAAAAACTCGTGCAACTCATTATAACTTTTAATTAGAGAATTCCCGTAAAAGAAAAAAGAAAAAAGAAAAAATGTAAATAAAATCATTTAAAAACCCAGCGTTCTTATTAAAGTCCTTCTCCATAGGACTTTATTTTAGCTTTGCTTGATATTTAGTATTTTTTCGCAATCAACGTTAACAAGCGAAATTTTGTTCAAATGAAATTTGTCGGTTGTCACAAAGCTTTCGGGGGCTCTGTACAAACTTAAAGCGTCCAATTAAACTCGCTCACAGACACTCTTGCATATTCGATCAGCAACGTATTGGGGTTTTTTTCTCTGCTAAATATTGTTGTTATCATTGGAATTGCTATGTTAGCTTGTAAAGCAACCATTAGAATGGAGTCATCGTACAAAGTAAGACATTCTTTATGTTTTTTCAGCTCGCACAGGTAACCAGGGATCGTGAAATCRATGGATGATCGTACCAGGTGAGGACTAGCTACTACGTTTTACTAAATATATATATGAATTGAAAGGATTTAGTCTAGATTGAATCGCACGCGATTTAATAAATGATCTAAATTACGACTTGTACTCACACTAACCAGCAACAAACCAGATTTCAACGCGGTAAACTTTTTTATCCACGCCAATCGATGCTACGATAAAAACATTCGATTGAAATTGAAATTGTTTCCTACAGTAAACGAAAATCCTATGCGCTCTCTCTCTCCTGTGACGTGACACTCCGGCATTGTGTACGGTAACAGGTTCACTGACTTAGCGTCATTATAGAATGCCTTTTCGTGGCCCTGGAAGATGGAATGACACTAATTGGTATTAATTTAAGCTATACTCTTATCACTTAGGCACTATAAACCATAGTATTTGACATTTATCACACATTCGAGCATTCATAGTACTTCAAAAGTCTAACTTTCTTTCAAAACCAAAGTCTCTTCAAAATATTGACACAGTGTAAACACAAGACGACTTGACGCCTGAGGGGGGATTAGAATTTGTAAGTTCTTTACAGACGACAATATAGTTTTACTATTTTCGAAGATAAAACATATTAAGCCCCGTTTGCACTGGCGATTTTTGCTGCGATTTTTGTGGCAATTTTCGGAAATATGAAATCTTTTGTCTCAKCCTTCAAAAGAGACATTCGTCTTGGAAAATCTTGGTATCCTGTAAATTCTTTACCATTATTTATTATGGACAAAATCGCAAAAAAATCGCAGCAAAAATCGCCGCAAAAATCGCTAGTGTAAACGGGGCTTTAGACTCAATATAAATGTTGGACTGAAATTTTATCACCGCTATCTTTACGATTATTAGATTATATAGTGTATTGATGTTACGGTGTTTTACAACAGAAAAATATTGTCGAGAACACGTATAAAGTATCTTTTAAATTGCTTACCTTGAATACAGTTCGAAGCTTAGCTGCCTGAGATCGATCATCTTTGAAATTTCTTTTAAATAAATCTAGCCCCCAAAAAGGACAATTTTCCCCGATTTTAAATTGCTATTTCAAGTGGATTTGTAATAATCTTTCTAGATACTTTGACATTGGTAATCCGGTATCAAAATAATAACATAAATAAGCCGAACAGATTTGAATCTTATCTTTAGTAAGCTAGTTAGAGTTTATTCAATTGATCAATACTAAAGACAACTTCTGAATAATTATAATATGGCCCGTAAGTACACTCAGCTTTCTTTTTACCCCTGAAAGTTAGACAAACAGAGAATAATAAGTCTCCAAAAAACAAAAGAAAAAAAGAAAAAATTGCTTAGAGTCGCGAGCAGGTTAAATTATACCAAGTTTTGTGTCCAAGAAACTTTATATTTATATTTATATTCATATTCATATTCAT